ATTTATCATCTTTCTTATTTTTAATACATTTTTATGTTTTGACTCATCAATTACAGTCACAATAAGTTAAAAAATATTTAAGAAAAAAAAATAATTTTTCTTAGTTCAACGAAAAAGGTCATTGAAAAATAATATGTCTTTTTTAGTAAAAAATTTATATTGTATTATAGTTGACTCGACAATATAATTGATGAATTTATAAATTATGAACATATAACAAGAACATAATTAGTTAAAGAAGATCTAAAAAAACATATTTTGAAGTTAGAGAAATCAAAATGTTGCAAAAGAGAGAATATAAGTTATCATCAAAATTAAAAAATAGAATTAGAGGGTAGAACTATAATATTGAGATTTACCATATTTTTTTTACTTGTGATGCCACGCGTATGTTATAACTTTAACAAAGTTATGAGCTGAATTTAATTCTAATTGGTTGAGTTGTAAATTAATTCATTATGTATCATTCTTTATTTTAATTTTATTTTTAAAAAAGAGACATGATTAAAATTATGAAAAATGTTCCCACAAATTTTGTTAGATACTTTATCCTATATGTTTTGGGATTAGGGCTTGTGTCGGGACTATTAAATAAATATGGATTTGTCATGATTCCAACGAAATATTTTTGTTAGAATTTTTTCATTAGAAAATTTAAACGGGGGTAATACTATTGAAATATTCGTTAAGTTTTATTGGAATTTCATCATTTTCTTGTAGTAAAAGTAGGGCTTCAAATCAATATAATTTTTTGCATTATATATAATATTGTGTGAAACTAATTATTATGAAAGTTGTTAATAATGATAAAAATATAACACATCAATGTAATTACCATTTAATTTATGATAATTAGTAATTTATTCAAAACAAACATGATATATATAGCTAGGTTGAAAAGTCTTTTAACTGTTTTATTAGTATTATAATAGCAAAACAAGGGGTAGGGAATTATATTTTACGTAATAAAAATATAAGAACATAAAATGAGAAAACTTATAGGTCGCATTCAATCCAAAGGTAGAAAGTAATAAAATTAATTAATATCATATATCAATTAGAGCTAGCTAATGAGAAATATAAAACATACTTAAGATGTACATTTATTTTAACTAGAGCTTTTAAGTACATAGAAATATATATCTTTTGCATTAAAAATTGGTATGTTACTCTTAAATTTTCAGTTAAAAATTTTATTACTTTCTAACATTAATTTTTTTAATTTTGAAATACTTAATAATTTTTATTTATTACCCTTTTCATATGTAATATATCACATCATTTGTTTCAAAATGATGTTTGATTTGTGTATATATATATATACACATCAATACTAACTTAAAATAATAAATGAACCCAAAAGTATCTTATAAAATAAATTATAAATCCATTTTAAATCAAATCTATTAAGTATAAAACAACATAAGATAAACTTGTCTTGTAATTCTTTTTATATAAAATGAATGTAAACTTACAACTATTACAACATATTAAAAGGAGTAATAAATGGGTTGTACGTTAAACTATTATCAATTGGTGCATGAAAGGAAATAACATAATGGTTGTAACATATATCCTCAATGAATATGAAAATAAGTTAATTACTTAATATTTCATCAAAGAATGAAAAGAAAAATCATAAACTTTTTAATATTATAAACAGTATAAGAGTACATGTTTTTCAAATAAATTATTATTATATATAAATAAATAAGTATGATTAAATTGTATTTACCATTTGTGATTATATTAATTGTAGCCTAATAATTAAGATATTTTGATAAGAACGTCAATATAGTAAATACGTACAAAAAAGTTACGCAATACATATAAATTTGCTCTAACTCTTTTAATAAATAAAATATTATTTATGAAAGGAATAAAAAAATAAAACAATAGTAATGCAATGGTACAAATAAAAAGTCTGAATTTTCTTAAAGAGATATGAATATTAATATCTAGAAACAAAAGTCACGTAAAATTACTACTTTTTTTTATTGCTAGCGTTTAAATATATGGACACTGTAAAAAATTGGTTCGGACTCTGTAAGAAATTGGTTCTCATAAATAATGATCTTATATTATTAATTTTTAACTTTAAAAAAACTAAAAATTTAAAACTTTGTAATACGTAATGTAGATTTTGATAATGACTCTGTATATAAAGTTTATAGATAACTAAGAGTATCATAATATAGTGTAATAGAATTCTAATTCTTCTCCTTTCAAATATTTTAAGCGAAATTTTATGTGTACCACGAGATTTTTAATTAATTGTTGATTTACGAAGGGACTGAAATTATTTGCAAGCATACATTTTTAATTGCATTTATTTGACTACAAGTTAAATATCCGTTACCATATTTAATTAAGAAACAATCTTCCTACAATCACGTTAAACTGACAAAGGTACGTCTATTATTACCTAATAATTAGAATTTTGTTCTTATCGTGCTCGGCAAAAAGGACGTAGAATTGAAAACATATATAGAAGATATACAGAAAACATATTAGTCTGTAAAAATATATACAGAACGATCAAATATATACAGAAAAGAACGATCAAATATATACAGAACATATAGAGAAGATATACAGAAAACATATTAGTCTGTAAAAAAATACGAAATAAACTTGGTAATTTTATCTTTTCGTATACAAAATACACGATCTGACTTATATACAGAAAATATACTCATTATATACACACGACATAAATAAAATAGAAGAAGAAGAAGGAAGAAGATAGAGAGATTGCGTGAAAGTGAAAATAAATCTCATTAAGATTGAAAGGTGATAAGTAAATGCTCAATATTGTAGTTGCAAATTATATTCCACATCAACATATTTATTAATATCACAACTTTCAATCTTCCACTGTATAATGTGATTACAAATATTGTGATGATGTGGACATCATTAATGTATACAGTGTAGAGAAGAATGTGGTTCATCCACATTCTCCTACACACTCTAGCTAGCCAATGAAGAGAAGAGAGAGAATTATTATTACCATTTTTAAACTATTTTATTTGATTAATTTCATTAAAGATAATATTGTAATTTGACTACATTGTGCATTGAAGATGATTTTTTAGTTTAATAGTTGAGAATTCAACATTTGTCCTACATGGTTCACAATCTATTTAATTTTTTGACATTTGTCAAAATTTATCCTACTACAATATTAGAGCATTGGAGATGCTCTTAATTCCGGTGACTTAATATTGGTGTTTTATATTGATCAGTTTTTTATATCTGGCAATTTTGCAATTATAAAGGTGAGATCTTGTATATTTGCTAATATTTGCAATGGGGATTCGTTTATGTAATTAAAACTGATATGTATTGTATGGTGTGCAATTTTCTCAATATTTTATCAAATGATATGTTTTTTAATATCATTTCATTGTTTTATTTTGTTTTGTCATTGTTGAAGAATAAAAAAATGATCTTTATCTTGAATTTTTGAAGCTATGTATGATGGGAAAAATTGGACAATAAAGCAATAAATAAGTTATTAGACACAAATATTGCGAACCCGAAAGAATGTGAGAATGATAAACAACTTTAAAATCATTGCAACAACTAAAACAATCAATTATTTGCAAATAATAGATTATATAGTTCGTATATCTTCCAAATAAATAACATTCACAAGGGAATGTAGGAAACATTTTGGAATGTTCAACTGAAGTTGTCACTTCTTGAAGGATTCTCATCGGAGTTATTTCACAAAGACTTGCCAGGGTACAGAAAAAGGGAGAACAAGCACACTTGGAGAGCGCAGTACAACTGAGAGTTGTATGCTATCTCATTGGATATTGCTCAAATATATGTGAAATTATTTTAAGGTATGTACTTTCATGTAATGTGATGATTTAAAAAAAAATAAAAATTAACGCCTCGAGAGATGTACATGTAACGAAAATTTTGGAAAATCAACTTTTATTTAAAGATGAAATTCATTTCCACCCTGTGGGGCGATGCCTCAATGTGGTAGGTACTAACAAGATTATATGGAGAGAGGGTAATGAAGTATTTTATACTATGATAAAATAAAAATATCAACAATTTTAATGACACACTTGGTTATTTGACAGAGATATTCATGAACTGCTAGTAGAAATACTTTATAAATATCCTACAATCATGAATTTGATTATATATTTGGCTAGAATATTTCTAAGTGTTTAAATAAAGTAGACATTTTGCCAAATGAATTAATAAGAATTTTGCAATACTATTGATGTATCGAGCTCCAACTTGTATGAATGTTTTTATGAAAACGTCAAAATAAAAATAAAAGAAAATCACTTTTGAATTATCTAACTTATATAAATAAAAGAATTAATGTATCTATAATATACATTACGTCTTTATTTTGTTATTTAGTATTTTTTTACATTGGTGACTCATTCTTCAAATATTTTTGTTGGGGTTGTAATAAGTTGTTTCATTGTTTTTATATTAGGACATCATTATATTATTTTTGAAGAAAAAAAATATTAAGATCTCATTTTGTTCTACATTTTATTTCGTTCCTACAATGATATGTTTAACAAATTAATTATTTAATTTTAATAAACTTAAGTGATAAAAAACATTCATCACGTGCACTTAACTAATACTACATAATACAAACAAAAATTCCCATAAGTGGATTTAAATAAAATTAGTGGGATCATAAAAAATGGTAACAATACTAATGTATGAATTGGACCAACAATAAAACTATGAATAGAAATAATTATAAACTACATAAATTCCAATGCAGATATTATACTTATAAACAAGAGCCTGATCTTGTATACTATTATGAAGGGTTTCTTAATTAATTAAACCTTTTAAAAATGTCACATCATATATGCCATGGAATTGTTAATTAAAAACAAAAAGGCCACCTCATATGCCACATCATATTGTGGCATGGGTTATGGCACTCATATGGGCACCATAGAATTTCTTTGCTTTATGTACTATTATTATATGGACACCATAGAATTTCTGTGCTTTATGTACTATTATTATATGATTAAAGTGATGATATATAGTAGGATTTATGAAGTGGGATTTGATTTTTTTTGGTGGTTTGCAGGAGCTCACCACATTGGAGAGAAGTACTATACAAGAACTATGATGCAATCTCAGCATGGCAAAGATTCTCTCATCTTTATTAAAAAGAGAAAAGCTTTGTGTGTGTGTAACCCTTTTGCCTTTTTTCCATTTTGGATCGTCTCTCCAGGTTTAAATATAAAAACGATGCTTCAAGAATAAGGAATCCGATTCCACAAAATACAGATACTCAGTTTGTTTAGTAATGGCCTGGACCCTTGGTGCTAAATTAGAGAATGTTGCGTATCTGATCATACACAGGCAGGTTGGTGATACGCACATATATCTTTTGATGGATTTTGCTGTAATTTGGATGAAACTGGAAAACAATCTTATTGGCAACTTCTTCCATAACCTCGAGAACCGACTGAGGAGCATCCACAAGCCAGATTGCAATGTTCGGGTGGGTATAGAACAATTGTCTGTAATCAATCTCCAAACTGCACTTGTTAACTGCAGGTAAAAATGAATTAAGTTAATTCACAACTGAAAACGTCATAGTGGGATCACTGGCTGGATGAAACCAAACTCAAACAACCTACTAAATTCACCCACATTAGGCTGTAAAAATAACATTTAAAATTTTCCAGGAGGAAGTTTGCTACCCGCCACCATTTCATTTATCTGCCTTAGATACTCAAAGTCTCCATGATCAAATTTTGGATTCACATAAGTAAGCAAGAACTTCTTGAACTTCTTGGCGATGAAATGCCTCACTTCATCTCTCGTAACCCACTCTCTGAGGGTTCCTCGAACTATACACATCTCATTCTCTTCATCCTATAGAGATAGCAGCACCTTTTATCAGGACATTCCTAATAATACTTCTCGCATTCAGAATATATTAAGCCATATATAACTGAAATACATACATCGTCCATATCAGTCATGGATACATCATCTCTGGGTATCCCATCAGTATCATCCATGCTGGTTGGAGTATTTGGCTGCCTGTCACATCTACTTCTTATTGGCAGCCTGTCTTCATCATCATTGGTGTCTGAAATTAAGTATCTTGGTCATTGCAGTTCACAATTCACATAATAATAGCTTAAGACAAGATCAAAGACTATCAAAATGGTTTGCGCAGTTACAGCATCATTTTTATTAGTTCGAGTCTGCAATTTTCCAATATGGTTGTGACAAATATATCTAATGGGTAGACTCGGATAGCGAACATAGCCCAAGACTACCTCTACATGTAGTTTACCCCATACCTAATTTCAAACCTCATTCTTATATCACCATGTGTTGCAGTTTTGTTCTTGTGATCAGAACAACACTAGGGTCAATGGTCATGCAGCAAAATAATTTATCCAAATAGAGAGCGCAGTACTTAAGAATCTATACATACATACAGCAAAAGTATACATATTTTCAGCAAAATCCACTGAATAAATTGACATAATTAAACATCTCTCGAGCCTTGGTATGCCCCACAAGATGACTATCCCTAGAACTTTTCTTCAAATTTGTGAACAGAATGGAGAAAATGAACAATATACTTGTATTATCTATACCAAAGTACAGATCCAGAAGGGTGAGATAGAGAGAGTGAAAAATGAATAAGGGGACCACCTTGATCGTGAAGAATCTGGGGATACTTGCGGTGAGAACGAGAAGGTTGTCTTGCATCGAGTTCGATCTCAGCAGCTCTGCGGCCAGCCATAATCTGCTCCAAATCCCTATCATCCTCCATGGAATCATCCAGACCCAAGGTCTCGTACTGGTCCTGCTTTCCCATCCTCCGGAAATCACTGCAATCAACGCCCCATGAATAGTGGCAATAAATAGCAATCAATTAATTACAAAGCAGAAAATAAGATGAAACACCGACTTCATGAATTGGTCGTTGAAGAGGTCCTCTCCTTCGTCGTCGATGTTGTCTTCTTCTTCATCTCTGATTATTTCAGGATCGACAGACGCTTCGCCGTCGTCGTCCGTGTAAATTTGACTGGAATTCATCGGCAGCTGGTCTGAACTCAATGCAGCGGACGCAGGGTTCTCGTTCGCTGCCCCGGCGCCGGATCTGGGTAATTTATCGCCGTTGCTCGCCATTGTCACTCGCAAGGTCTCCGGTCACTGCGTGAGAGGGGGACGTGCTTCAATTAGGGCACCGCCACAGTCTCCTGAGTTGTTGTGAGAACGGAAACGTGTGGTAATAAAATGTGAAAGTGAATCTATATATATAATTAGGGGAAACAAATTTATTGCCAACTTTTCGTTTTCCCGCCCAAACGTCTCTTCCATGTATATAAGGTAACTAGTGCATATCCCGTGCAATGCACGGAGGAACTTTTATTTTAAATTTTTTTTAGATTTTATTAAATATAATTATTTATATTTTTCACATCTTATCTCATTATGGAAATAAAATAAATACAAACAACGAAAAATATATATGGTTAAACACTTCTCTTTACACAATAATTTTTATTTAAGAAATATTATTAAACCTTGCAGTTTTGATTTAAAAAAAAAAAAATCAATTATCCAATCAATGATTGTTAATGTACAAAAAATAATGGAAAGAATCCGCCTTTAAAGTAAAACTATTTTTTATTTTAATTTTTACACATCAAAATCATCTATTTTTTTTAGCACTTTCATATATCAATTTCAATGTTACTTCATGCCAAGTTATTCAATGATCAACCATTTTTCAAATTACTGGTCAATTAGAAGAGAAATCCAAATATTATCCTATATCGTCTTTTTTTCTTTTGTATTTAATTTTTTAATCAAACAATTAATAGAAAATACTATTCCCATCATATATCTAATTATTATAAAATCAAATTCAATCTAATTAAAGTAACAATTTAAAATTATAATAAATCCATGTTCAATATAATTGAAGTAATAAATTAGACAATATAACATCAGAAAATTGGGCTTACCATTTTAATTTAAAAAATTTGGCAAGCTTATTAATGAGATAATTAAAATATTATAATGATTATATTTTTAAAAATCCGAGTAGATAAATATAATTATATTAATTAGTTTGTTAGAAATATGATTATATGAAAGTTAAGATAAAATTAATTTGGCAAGTTTATTGAGTATGATGTCCAGTACAAATCAATCAATCTTGAATCGGTTGGTTAAAATTACTTGTAAGAAAATATTTAATAATATATAAATTTCACTACTAATTCTGACAAAATGATAAATTGAAACATTAAACTAATTGCCTAATAAATTTAATTAAAGTATGATTTACCATTTGTAATATCACTAAAGGTGTTGGGGCAAAGCACTATGATACCAATAAGGCATGTTTTCAAAATTATTTTGGGTTTGTTGTGGTATAAATTATGATCCATTGACTGCCACAAACAACCTGAAAAAGGTCATATTTAAATTTATATTAATTAAGCATCACAAATAAATAATTTATATACAAATAATACAAAATTGAATTCAAATTTATATTAGTTAAGCGTCACAAATAAATAATTTATATACAAACCATAATAATTAAATTCAAATATAATTTTAAAAATATTTATAATTAAATATATATTAATACTATTTAAATGGGCTTAATATCTAATAATGTGGTGATATGAAAGTGGCTTGATATTATACAGAACAATATTTGTTTTAATCAGCCCAAATAATGCCGACCTATTACATTATCTTACACTAAGCCCATTAAAATTGGATTTATATTAGCCCAAGATTGAATTGCCCATCAACCCAAAAAGAAAATCGGATGGTTAAAGCAAAGTTAACGGAGGTTGATTTAAGGGTTAGTATAAAACCCGAAAAAATCGGGAAACCTATCGGGCAAGAGCTTTCTCTCCTCATTTCGCCGCAACTATTTTTTTTTTTNGTTCATCTTCTTTCAATTTTTTTGGTCGAAATTTATTGTTCTTTTTATTGAACCTAAAAATTACTTTCAATTTTAGGTTTGTTATATAGATTAGTTGTATTAATCTGTTCGAATGAAGATTAGAACTCCTTTTAAATCTTTAAGTTTTTGATCGATTTTGTACGATTTCTTAACGATTATTATGATTCTTAAAAAGAATCATTCGTTTCTTTGTCGAAAACAAAATTTTGTTTATTGTATTTTAGTTTTTTTTTTATATAAATTTAGGGATTTTTATGCTTGTTTTATAAGGTTTGAAGATTCTTCAAAATTAGATTTTTTTATTCGATTTAGGGATTTTTTTGTTCGATTTGCTTGGAACTTTTTGTTAAAAATCTATTGTTCGATTTGAAATCTCTAAACAATTTCGATTTTTCAGTTTTAATAAACATATTTTTGTAAGATATTTGCCCCCAATTTTAAAAGGATTCATCCGCACAAAATCAGATCCATATAAATCGGAGTAACAAAATTCAGCCACAAACAAATTTGATTAATCTTATCTGATTGCTAAAATTCAGCCCCATTTTAATCGGAGCAGTAAAATACAGCCAAAAACAAATTTGAAGACATGGCCGACAAAAATACAATTTCAAACAATTTAAAAATATGTAAGCGGGAACAACACGATTTCTAAGCAGAAAAACGAAATGTTTTTCTTACGAATTGTTCAAATATTTTTTCTTCTCTGTATTATATATTAATAGATTGCTTAAATTAGAGAGATCTATATATATATATAATTGCTAGCTAAGAAATAAATTTTACCTAATAAATATTACCTATGTGGTAAATCATTAATAAAACCTAATAAATAGAACTTAATAAATTTTATTTATGTGGCAATACGCCCAATCTCATTAATACAAAATATTCCATTACATTTTTTGGGTTAATTAAGACAAAAACCATTATATTTTATGTTAACTGATTAATAATTATATTTTTTATTGAATAATATAATAGTTAATATTAAAATTAGTGATTATATTTTATACTAAATAATATATGAAAGTTACATAAAATTATATTTTACACTAAAATCAATATTTTTTTATATGATGAAGCGATTGTTTATTAATAAATTAATTATTTATGTCATAGTAAAATTTCTTAAAATCACATAAGCAATTGTTATAATAAATGTAATATATTTCAGTTAATTAATTGGTCATGATAACTCAAAATTATAAAAAGTATATATTTATTACATTTTATGCAATCAATATAGTAATTCGTATACAATCAAATTGTATATACTATTTATTTTAACCAATGATCAAATTTTAAAATATAATACTAGTATATAATTTATAATTTTAATATTATATACATAAATATAACTTATAATACTATATGTTTGAAATATAATACAATTATTAACTTATAATTTTTATATTATATGCATAAATATAATTTATAATATTTAATTTTATTTAGATGTGTGCAAATGCACAAGATGGAATACTAGTTATGGAGAAATGGAGCTTATAATCATATGAAGGAAAGTATCTATCTATTTTTATTATATTAATATACAAAGTGGCAAGGATATTTATCTGAAATAGTAACAAAAGAAATCATTTGGTTTCCCACCTAAAATTTCATAAATACTAAACTAAGTACATTTTTTTAAAAGAAACTAGTACAAATCCCGTACGATGCATGGGTAAGAGATATTCACTTATAAATTAAAAATTCTCATTAAATAATAGTATAAATAAAAAATATGGAATCAAGATGTAATATCATGTACTTATATTAATTCATTGAAAATATTATATAAAATTTAAATGGTGTGAAATGACATAAAAATGTATATTTAAAATTAGTACACAACCCGAGCGTTGCACATAACTGATAATAAATTACATTATATTCATTTAAAAATATGTGTCATTTCAAAATGTTTATTCAGAAATTCGATTTGACTATAACGTGATATATTTAAAAAGCTAAGTGAATAATAAGTGTAAATATAAAACTTATATTGTTTCATTAATTAATATGAATTTATTTTTGTATAAAATGTCCAAACAAAATATTTAAGTAGTTGAGTAAAAACATTCAGTCATAAGGTTTTTTATGCAAAAAAAAAATGACACTTCTTATCATGCGAAAAAAATATTTCACACAAAAATTATTTGAAATGTCGTAACAAAAAATGAATTAAATCGAGACCCACTAATTATACAAAAAAAAATTTGAGCAGAGCTTTTTCTATAAAAGAAACATCGATACACGCACATTATATCAAAATATCCGTTCATATTATTTTATCGGATTAATGTAATTTTATTGGCCTTGTTTGGCGATCAGCGGATAGCGGATTATATTAGCTGATTTGACTAGCGGATTGCATTAGCGGTTTTTAAATAAGTGTTTGGTAAATAGCTGAAAGCTTATAGCTGTTTGACATTGCAAAATGATCAATAAGGATATTTTATTATTTATGGTGTATTCTTTTAATAATAATATATTAAAACATTTAATATTTATTAGTTGGTAATTTATAAATATATATATATTTTTTTTTTCAAAAAAAATTACTAAAACTTGATGAAAAAGTTATGAATTTTACATTTTCGTTCCTCTTCTTTTGCGTATTGGGGATTATCCCTGATACGTCATGGATAATGGATGATTTTTGTCCACTACCTACCGGTAAGGAAATGGCATCCGGAGTTCAGACCATCGGCTAGATGAGGTTGGCACGTAAGATAGAAGACTTGAATTGTAGGTCTGTCGAGCTCTTGCCCTTTAAGAAAGGTGTAATTGACCTTAAGTTAACTAGTCAAAAGCAATTGTAGAAATAACTCATTAAAGGCGTCGGGTGACATTCATCATATTTTCATGCATTATGAGTGATATGTTGTGATATTAGGCATTGGTTATCATGTGATTGTGCACCAATTCGTTTTATTTATTAATCTATGATAGAGGTGTTTTTGTCGTTGTTCTTGCAAGAAATATGCCTGGAAATGCGTTGGAAATGGAATCGGGACAAAAAACGGATGCAGAAGAGGTCACACGACTCGTGTGGGTAGTGACACGGGTCGTGTGGGTTGAGAAAATAAGATACGCAGCTACGGCTTTTTCACACGGGTCATGTGGCTTCACACGACTCGTGTGACCCGGTTGTGTGACCAGTCGTGTGAGCTGGAAGTTCGCCGAAATGTTGAGAAAAGTCACACGACTCGTGTGGCATGTGACACGAGTCGTGTGACGCGCAGACTAGTTCAGCGGGGAATAGGATTCTTGTGCGATTTCTTCCCTTTTTCGACCCAGAATTGCCCTACAGTATAAAACAGACCTAAGGAACTCGTTTTTGGGACTTTTGACACCATTGGAGGCCTAGAGAAAGCACGAAACACACGAGGGATTCGAGGAAGTCAAGATTGAAGATTCGGGAACTAACGGCGACAATAGTTCTTCTTCCTTTTCTCTTTTTCTTCTTCATTGAACTCATGGATTTATTTATATTGAGTTTTGAGAATATGTTTAGTAGCTAAACCTTTTAGGGATTCTTGGATTTACGAGTACTCGGATTATTTTATGAAGTGATTTTATTTATTCATTTCTTTTATCAATTTCTTGTGCTTTTATTAATTGTGTGAATATAAGGGCCCGTATTTGTGCATATTTGTGATTGACTTGAGACCGAGAGGAGATAGTTGATTGCTAGAATGAGAAATTCATAACGTAAGAGACTAAACAGACCGAGAGGTTGATAGAATCTTGCGAGGGAACTAGAATCTTAGGAGCTTATGGGAGTTGATTGTTCATCTTGAGACCGAGAGAAGATAGATAACAATTCATATCTACGAATGGTAGAATTAAATAAGGTTTGGATGAATAATTAATCTTTGCTAGAATAACCCCGAGGAAAACATAGCCTAGAATCTATTTTCCCATTCTTGATTTATCTTAGAACAAGCCTTCATTAGTGTTAGAATTTATTTTGCAACCATTCATTAGTGATTTTATTCTTGATTTATCTTAGAACAAGCCTTCATTAGTGTTAGAATTTATTTTGCAATCATACTTTACTTTTTGGGCCCGTTCGGATTCGTCCAAGCTCGAATATGAGTTCCGCTTTTCCTTATATGTCACCAACGAATCTCTCTGCACAACCATGATTGCCCAGACAATTTTCGGGCTAAATCTATTCTTCACGGGCTTCTCACCTGCACACCAAAAATGAAGAAAAACTGAAAACACACGAAAAACACATAGAGAACCAAAATAGAGCGAAACACACAATAAACTACAAAAACGAATAAAAACCAATGAAAAGATAAAAAACGAGAGAAAAGAATGACAAAACAATACCGAAAAATGCAACAAAAAATGGGACAAACAATGACATCTAATCACGTTAAATAATCAACAAATTATGTGATCAGCTGTAAGTAAATCAAAAGTTTAAAATAATTTTTGTAATTTTGAAGTGATTAGTGTGTTGATTATCTAATAATCGAATGAGAGGTTAGATAAATAAAAAGTAACGGTTTTTAGAGAAAAAAAATTATATTACCATATAAGTATAATTTAATAGGTTTTATTAAATGCTCATGAACCAGTAATTAAGT